TTTAAGGAGGTTTTTTTTGCTTGTGAGATAATGTGTGCTCATATTTATTTATTTATATATATATATATGAGAGAGAGAGCTCTGTTTTCCAGCCTGAGTCTATTTAATTTATTGTTTTGGTTGTGTGTGATTTAATTAATTTATTATAATTTAATTAATTGGTTTTATTTATTATATATAATTTATATATTTTAATATTATTTCACATTTAATTTGCAATGTTGAATGTTCAATAAAAAGTTATGTTTGAAAGGATGTAGTTTGAATTATTATTATATATTATCATTATGTCTAAAATGGTCTTAAAACGGTGCCGACAATATTATCGTTTATCGCAATAATTTCCAGAAAAATGTATCGTCCAACACAATTAATTATCGTGACAGGCCTAGTTACAGGTCTGTGAGAGCCAGAAATCTTGTTTGTTTGTAGGTGACCAAATACTTATTTTCCACCATAATTTGCAAATAAATTCTTTAAAAATCAGACAATGTGATTTTCTGGATTTTTTTTCTTCTCATTTTGTCTCTCATAGTTGAGATATACCTAGGATGAAAATTACAGGCCTCTCATCTTTTTAAGTGGGAGAACTTTCACAATTGGTGGCTGACTAAATACTTTTTTGCCCCACTGTATGTTTCAAATATAGCATGATAGGTCCACTTTAAGTAATGCATGAGAAATAAGTAAATGTCAATTTTTTTGTATCTTGCGTTGTACATCAACTAACTGCTTCATATCTGTCTATAGTTGCGCCTTATCGACTGGGGGCTGGCCGAGTTTTACCACCCAGGACAGGAGTACAACGTCCGAGTGGCCTCCCGCTACTTTAAAGGCCCCGAGCTCCTGGTGGACTATCAGGTACATGTGGGGCGGGCACACTTTAGATTGAGCTGACATGGTTACATTACATATCATTTACATCTGTAGGTATCCAAGCGGTGTCTTAATTATCTGTTACACATTTAATCTGAGACTCTGCTCTTCACTTTTCAGTGTTTTTCTCCAAACCTACTGACCTTGCATTTTTTTATATTTTATATCTACACACACACGTACCGGGTCCGGCAGCGGCGCGGTTTTGTTCCGACCTCCTCCAGCGTCAAACCCCACCGGGCGCGTTTCAGAAGCGGAGCATGTGTCTGTGCCGGCTCGCAGTTTTGGTTGATTTGGGCATATTTCCTGGACAGGCTACTTTGTACAGACAAAGTTAATAATAATTGTAATATTCCAGTTATAAATGACATGAATCAAAGATGTGTTGCTGTATTTTGTGGTAAAAAAGTGCATTCATCATCATAATTGTTTATATAATTTACACAGTGCCTGTAAACCGCAGGAGAACGCTGGCATTTCTCCTCCTACTTGAAAGATACGGTGGGATAGGGTCTGCAAAATTAGTTTATTTTGGGGATTGACTGGATGCTCTGACCGGTCCACTTCCTGCCCGCCGCTATGCAACGCCTCGCATCTCGCGTCAAAAATAGACCAGCCGCCTATTTTTAGCGGAGCCCAGTGTCGAGACGCTTCCGAGCCGCAACGCGGCGCGTCTGTTGGAAACACACGCATTGACTAGAGTGACCGCGATCGCTGTGCATGGTGCGGCCGTAACGCGGCGCAGACGGACCCGGTGGAGTGAGTGAGTGAGTGTGTGTGTGTGTGGTATCATACATGTACTGTGTGTTTCAGATGTATGATTACAGTCTGGATATGTGGAGCTTGGGTTGTATGTTGGCTAGCATGATCTTCAGGAAGGAGCCCTTCTTCCATGGCCATGACAACTACGACCAGGTAAACACAAAGCGGGGTTGGCTGATGGGGCAAACTTTGATTTAAGAAAACAAACAAAAATCTGTACCCGCTAATCGCTGGGCCATAGTGCTCAGCTGTGAAACCTCTTGCTTTCATTCCGGTGTACATGCCGCTGTATGCACTTTTTTTTTATCTTCTTTACCTGTGGCTCACTTACTTAATATTTTTCAGTTTAACTTGTTCAATGAAATGAAACCTCTTAATCTAGTCAATTTAAGCTGGAAGTTAAGCAGTTCTGTCTGTGTGTGACCCCCCCCCCATGAATGCACGCAGAGTAATTCCTCCATTTTTGTAAAGCCACAAACAAATATATTTAATAGACGGCTACAGCAATATATGAACCGTGCAATTTTTCAATGAACTCAATATTTTCAGTCACCGACTGGGGTCAATGTAGATTACTGTGCTTGAGGGTCACAGTCTCATACAGAGCTGAGAGACTGATGTATCCTTGTTTGGGCTCCTGTAGTTGGTGAGAATAGCCAAGGTTCTGGGGACTGAAGACCTGTACGACTACATCGACAAGTACAACATTGAGCTGGAACCGCGATTCAACGACATTCTGGGGAGGTAAGGGCTGTTACTGCTGACTCAGGACGGTGTCTTGGACAACCTATTGCTTTCTTTCCATCAACCCCTATGTTAACTCCATATTATTTACACATTTTGAGCAAGTCCAAATTATAAATTAACAGTTGGGTTCATCCCTGCTTTTTCCTTCAGGCATTCTCGTAAGCGATGGGAGCGTTTTGTCCACAGTGAGAACCAGCACCTGGTCAGCCCAGAGGCTCTGGACTTCCTGGACAAGCTGCTGCGCTATGACCACCAGGCCCGGCTGACGGCCCGTGAGGCCATGGACCACCCCTACTTCTGTGGGTGTTCATAAAAATGAAAAAACAATCAGTAACAGTAATGACAAAATAAGTGATTTCTTTATTTCTGTTGTTCCTGCAGTCCCCATTGTGAAGGATCAGTCTCGTGGGGCCGCGTCAGCCAACCTGGCCAGTGGGAACTCAGCTGTTAGCTCATCCAGCATGATCACTGGTGAGTACACACACACACACACACACACACACACACACACACACACACACACACACACACACACACACACACACACACACACACACACACACACACACACACACACACACACACACACACACACACACACACACACACACACAAACAAACAAATGTAAATGTATGTTTCTAAACTCTTGCAGTGGCAAATTTACATGCACTTACACACTCATGGTCACACACATGCATAACACACACACCGACACACTCACACACACACAGCAAGTACTTCCTGGTCTTAAGAGTTCATTACAGCCACAGCCAGTCCTGGCATCTCTATTGCAGCTCCACGGTCTCTCTGTGGTTTTATTGACCCGCATGTTCAGGTGATACAGAGCTGGCTATTGTTGCAGGATAATGGCACTCAGTGTGATGTTAGCAGGCAGTGTGAAGTTGTGGAGGTTTAGAAATATAAACGATATTGGATTTGTCATATTGTGAAAATGTTAAGGTTCCCTTCAAATAACATGGGACTGACTATAAGAATTTACCTGCTGCATTTCACCAGTAATATGTCACGGAATTTGCACATCCTCATACTGGTAGACCTTTACTCGTCACTCCAAAACTTATTTGGATAGGGGCCAATGTCAATACATCTTGTATGGGTCATATGGATTCATGCTATCTTTATTTGATCTGCATCTTTAGTGAAACATTTGAGCTTTTTGAAAAGTGACCATCAACTATTAGTAAATCCATTGGTCAATTGGCGGAGATAAAGGGAGTGTGCCTTTAATTTCCAATTACTACTGTAACCCATTCTAAAGACATGGAATATTTGATCCCTTTAAAAAAAGATTGATACCTACAGTATTGCCGAGCTGGCCTAGTGTATCTCTTGAATAACTATAATTTACGTTGTGCTAGTGGTGGTGTGTAGTATTAGAGTAGAAATATTTTTGTTGCTATTTTTCATGGTTTTGGACAAATAGCTAGGTAGCTAAGTCAGTCAATTGATGTTCCATTCTTTTGTCTAATATTCTGAAAATGTGTAGCATGTTCCGAGGGTTTACTTGTCACTTTTCTGACTTTAACCAACTACAAAAAAAATCCCATAAAAATTACCAGGGCTAGCAATGCTGCTAACTTAGTGTCTTCTTCTTTAATCAACCTGGTAAAGCTTAAGATCCATATTTTAGGGATCAAATGCTGCCTGGAACCACACGCATGTCATCCCCTCTCTCTCCCTCTTTCAACACTGTTGCACTCCAATAAAGGCTAATACCGCCAATAAATCGTAAAATAAATGAACTACGTTCTCCTTTGAAATAATTTCCTGCTTTTTTAAACGGATATTTCTGAACTTCCCCTGATTTATTCTGGGACTAGCCTCTGTTGTTGGGCTGTGACAACTAACCTGCACAGATCTAGGGCTCATGGGAAATGCTGTTCGATAAAAGCAGAGACACACCTTAAAAATTCCCTTTTTGTTTTGCAATTTATCTTTGAGTGTCCTGACACCGTTTGAGAACCAGTAGAGAGAACAATTGAGAACAGTAGAGAGAACAATTGCAGAGAAGGAAGCCAGAAAGATGGGACGAAATAGAAAAAGACAATGAGAAAAACAAACACGTTGTCTCTGACAGTGGTTTTTGTAACCATAAAGTATGCTGACCAATCAGAATCGGCAAAATTCCACAACTCCCACACACAGAATGATGCTTCATAAAAATGACCGCCTAATGTCGCGGGGTAAATAAAAGAACCTGCATGCAGCCAGTGTACACAAAACACACACTTGTAAGTGGCAGCAAAATAAAAGCACATATGAACACACAAGTGCCAAATTCCACACACACTTAGACACATACTGTACATTTACCACATGGCCATTTAACTCCTCCAAGCTATTCATTTAACAAATTCCATAACCCCTTAGAATTTTTCATGTGAAGAAGATTGCTGCCTGGCCTCAGATTCATTATAGTGATTGAATTCCCTTCAATAGAACACTTTTTAGTGAGGGAGAAAGGGAGGGAGAGCAAGAGAGTATGTAACTGCATGAAAGAGAGACAGACAGAGAGTGAGCAGTCTGTCTTGCCTGACTGAAACTGAAGGCAACAGAGGTAAAATCTCGTCTGGGTGCTAGGAAACAATACGGCTGTATTTTCACCTCCGCTCACCTCTCCGTTCCCATCTTCATTTCCCCCTCTTACTTATTCAGCTGCATAATGAGTACTCACTTAGTACTTTAAGTATATTTTGCTGATACAACTCTTGGACTTTTACCTAAACAGAAACACTGCTGGTAGATAGGGTTTTCATGTTAAAGAGGCCCTATTATGCTTTTCCAACCCAGTCTCACAAAAAAACGTGTAATAACTACGTTGGTCCACAACGTAGGACGTAGTATTTCTACAAAAACGCGTTTTACTATTTTAAAGTTAGTTTGGCCATTAAAATGCGTTTTGATGTCATTTGATGCGGTGTGCAGTGGATGTACAATCTTTAGTTTGCTAGTTATTATGAAGATTACTTCAGGAAATTGTGTCTATACAATGTTTTCATTGTTACCAAGGTGGTTGCTAGGGACGCTGCTATCGATATTATTTCTGTTGTGTTGTGTAACTGTTTAATGGTGTTACACACACACACACACACACACACACACACACACACACACA